AGGTCCGAGTCCGTTTACCCAAAATGTTGACCGAAGTCAACATTATGCATATTAATACCAAAATTCATCAAATGTTTCACATAATTCACATATTCTAACATCAAAACTTTCGGGCCACGCGCCCGAATTGCGCACACCAATCGAGGCAACTAAAAGCTAGGTTTTCAAGGCCTCGAAAGCGCGGAACAAGGAAGAACTACGGTGATGACCCTTCGGGTCGTCACAAACTTGTTCAAATTTGACAATTAAAAAGTATTCATTTGTGGTTTTCATATTCCTTTTGAGAAACAAGAATTAATTCTTTTAAATTTGAAATAGAAAAAAGTGAAGGGACTGTAGAATATGCGTCAATTTGGATAAACCAACAAAAATAAATAAAACTTTATGAAGTCATCACCAAATATTTATTTTTTAGATGTGTTAAGTCACTGAATAAATCGAACACATACACAATGATTTGACACTAACTTGTTTGGATGGTTGTTACCTATTGTATCGAATCTTATTGTTATTTTAAATACAATGCTTATTTTGATTGTTACTTAAATTTTATTGGATCGTATCGTTAAATCCGTCGTTACGTAACGATAAAATGTGTCACTTTATGTAACGGTCGATTTGGTGTGGTCGTGTCGTTTCCTTGTATTTTTCTCTCAATCTCACCCTTCATTATTATTAAATAATTTTATTTTATCATTTACCCTATCTTTTTATACACCGTATTGTAATTTTTCTTTGTAATATTGCAAGTTTATTCATCATATAACTAGTGCATGATACCATGAAACGACAGCAAAATGATAGAATTCATCCAAACATTGTATTCATCAAATGATACAGTATAATACAATACAATACATTATGAAACGATATTTAACAATCATCCAAACAAACTGTAAGGCAAAACACCCCTTTTTTACCACAAATAGTAGGAATTTGTATATGGCTTGTTGCCTAAAAGTTTTTGTTTTGGTGAATATCTCTCATTAATTTGAGATTTACATCCTAAAGATCTGTTACAAACATCGACGGAATATATGCTATTCCTAGTAGTAACATTCTGAAGTAGAAATAATTAAACTTTAAATTTCATTTTACTCTTAATGATATTTTTTAATCTTTTGTAGCCATAGAAATCTCATAGCACATTTTTTACCACGATATTTTTTAAAAAAATCTTTCTTCCTTAGACTTATGGCTTGTTTGGATGGTTGTTACCTATCATATTGCATCGTATTGTTACTTGAAATACAATATTTATTTTGATTTACATAAAATCTATTATATCGTGTCATTAAATTCGTTGTTACATAAAATTTATGTAACGCCAAAAATTTAGAATTGTGGCTTGTTTAGATTCGATGCCGTTGCGTGTTAAAGGTGTCACATGAATGAAGAAGCCAATTGTCACTTAGCTGGCAAGTAGTCTGTTAGGTTAGTTGTTAATTATGTAATCAGAAGTTAGTTAGACTACATTGTATATGTATGTGTATAGGCGGTTAATCAATGCAACAGTGAAAAAACATTTCTCATCTTTTCTGTTCTTCTCTCTAAGCTCCGATCTCTCTTAGCTCAATCTAGAAGCACTCATGGCAGATGTTTGATATGGTATCAAAGCTTTGTGCGATCGCTATTCTCGCCTAATTCTCCTTTGAGTTCATATGAACGAAACTTCATTTCCTTCATCTTCATCTCCTTCCATCGATAACATCAAATCGGCAATGGCTATGGATAAAATTGACCATACTCATCCTCTATTTGTATAGCCTTCAGATACTCGAAGCTCCGTATTGATTCCAGTTCAATTCACTACATCTGAAAATTACGGATTATGGAAGAGATCGATGAGAATTGCACTTCAAGCCAAACAAACTAGGGTTCGTCAATGGTACATGTACTAAGGATCAGTTTAGGTCAGAGCTACATGAAGAATGGGAAACTTGTAATGCGATTGTGCTCTCGTGAATTGTGAATACGATATCTCCAGATCTGCTTAGTGGAATCGTATATGCTTCTATGCTCACCTAGTATAGGATGATCTAAAGGAGAGGTTTGATAAGGTGAATAGAATGAGGATTTTTTAATTTCATAGAGAAATTGCTAAAATTTTCCAAGGAACATATTCAGTATCCATGTATTTTACGAAATTGAAAGAGCTTTGGGTTGAGTATGATGCAATGGTACCTTCAACAAATTCAAAGGAGTATGTAGATTATCTTTATTGGCAGATGCTATTACAGTTTCTAAGTGGACTGAATAATTCCTATTCTCAAGCTAGAAGTCAGATTCTAATGAAATCTGTGGAACCTACTTTTGATCAGGCTTACGCTCTAATTGTTGAAGATGGAAATTAAAGGAGTACTTCAGGAACTTCATCACACACTGGGCGGAACTCAATAGTTGAGGGAAATGACATTACAACATTGTGGAGTTCAGCAGTAAAAGGAGGTTCACTCTAGAAGAATAAAAGGAGCTGCAGTATATTTTGTGAACATTGCAAGATTAAAGGACATAGTAAAAAGAATTGTTACCAGCTCATTGGATATCCGACAAATTTCAAAGGGAGAAGGAAATACAGAGCACCTACTGCCTATCAAGGAGCATCTATTGGTAATCTAGTAACAGTTCCTGGTCTTTCTCATCAAAGAGAATATGCCACACAACATGGAGGATTCAGAAGCCAAGCTAAAGGAAGCTATAATGGAGGGCAAACAGGTACGACTGTAGCTTTGGGAATCTTTATGCAGGAACAACACATGGAAACGACAATCACATGCAGATGTCGAGGGAAGAAACTCATAATACTGTGCAGTTTTAAGATGCATGGTCTCAGGGACGATCTCAAGGATCTACAGGTGGTGTCACTGTTATATTCACTCCAGAACAGTATAGTCAAATCTTACAGATGCTTAGCAAAGAGAATGTTTCAGAAACATCAGCCAACATGGCAGGTAGTATTTTCTCCTTCAGGGCTAGTAAAATAGGACACAGATAGATAGTAGACACAGGGGAAACAGATCATATGGTATCTACTCCTGAAATGTTATCTGATTTGAATGACTATAGTAAGCAAGGCTCATTAGCACATTTAGCTGATGGAAAACAGTTGCCTATTAGCCATATAGGTAAATATAGATTGGCTTATGGGGACATCAGTGGTGTGTTGTGTGTACCAGACTTCAAGTTTAACTTGTTTTCAGTAGCTAAGCTAACCAGAGAATTGCAGTGTTTCATGTATTTCTCTCCTGATTTTTTCCGATGCAGGACCTTCACATTGGGAAGGTGAAGGGGAATAGTAGAATGTACAATGACCTGTACTATTAGAGAAACAACATAGAGAATAGGATGCCACAATCATTGGTTGCTGTTGTGACTCAATCTGCAACATTGTGCCATAGGAGGTTGGGACATATTCCTCACAAAATACTGTAGCAATTGAACATTTGTAAGGAGGACAAAACAGATATTGACAAAACTTATTCCATATGTCCTCTACCTAAGAAAACTAGGTTTCCTTTTCCTCAAAGTACTAGTACAACTATTAAATTGTTTGAGCTAGTTCATGGTGATGTATGGGGTCCCTATAAGGTGCCTGCACATGATAGTCATAGATTTTTCCTTATACATGTAGATGATTGTAGTATAATGGTCTGGGTGTTCTTGTTAAGGTTGAAAAGTGATGTTTCAGTCGTACTGAAAGATTTTTGTCATTAATAAAGACACAGTTTGATAGTTCAATCAAGGTCTTCAAGAGTGATAATGGCACAGAGTTCTTTTACTCACATTGTACATATTTGTTCGGTAGTGCAGGAATTGTATATCAAAGTTCATGTGTTCATACTCCTCAAACAGAATGGAGTTGTTGAACGAAAGCATAAACAACTTCTTGAGGTAGCAAGACGCATTGGGTACCAAGGTTGTATTCCCCTAACTCTCTGGGGATTATGTGTTCAAAATGTTGCTTATCTAATTAATAGGGTTCCGTCCACTGCCTTAGGAGGAAGATCACCATTTGAGGCATTCTATGAGAGGAGTCCTAATCTACAACACCTAAGGGTACTGGGATGCTTATGTTATGCCACAAATATGGGTGCCAGAGGTGACAAATTTGGAGCAAGAGCAATCCCAGCAGTACATATGGGATACTCTACCACTCAGTAAGGCAATAGGCTATACAATTTGGCCAATAAATTGTTCTTTGTTAGCAGAGATCTTTTATTTAGAGAAGACGCATTCCCCTTCAAGTCCTCTTGCTACTAGTCTAGACCACATAAACTTGTGGAGTATTGGGATGATTGTCATGATCCTTTTGTTATTGACACCAATACTGATATAGTTGCATTGGATCCTACATCTACACCAGAGCCAGTATCTGCCGCTCCAGTCCATCCATTTCTCCATCTTTGCATTTAGTAGAGTCTGCAGTTGGTGTCTCTGAGAATGATATAGCTATATTGGTCCCTGTTGTTGCTACTGGTTCTCCTACTCTTGGTGAGGCTCCTCATGGTAATATACCAAAGGTAACTATTCCTCCAGGACCTAGTGAACTTACAGTCACAAGGAAGTCTAGCAGAACCTCTAAGCCCCCTAGTTGGCTTAGTGACTATGTCCATAAGGGGTCCAAGCCTTTATCACATGTTGTGGTAGGTGCAGTTTACCCTTTGTCGGCATACATATCATATGCTTCACTTTCAGACCCTTATTATAAGGTTCTTTGCAACATTTCATCTGTAAGGAAACCTGATTCATATAAGGAGGCTCTTCATGATCCATAGTGGATAGCATCTATGCAACAAGAACTACAAGCCCTTCAAGACAATCATACTTAGCAGCTAGTAGATTTACTACCTGAAAAGAAGGCCATTGGTTGTAAGTGGGTATTCAGAATCAAATATTATGCTAAAGGAGAGATGGATAGATACAAAGCTCGGTTGGTAGCCAAGGGGTATACTCAGCAAGAGGGGTTGGATTACTAGGAAACCTTTTCACATGTGGTTAAGATGGTCAATGTAAGGACTGTCGTATCTTTAGCTGCAATGCATGGTTGGAAGCTACATCAAATGTATGTATTCAATGCATTTCTCCAAGGTAATCTTGTGGAGGATGTTCACTTGGTTCCTCCTCCCGGACTTCTAGGAGAAGGGGAGTGTAAGAAAGTATGCAAGCTATAGAAGTTACTGTATGGCTTGAAACAAGACTCTCGATAGTGGAATTTTAATCTTTGTGAAGCAATTCTCTCCTCAAGATTCGTTCAAAGCCATCATGATTATTTCCTTTTTACACAACGATTAGAGGACAAACTCTTTCTTATCTTTGTTTATGCGGATGACCTCCTCGTCACTGGTTCTTCTCCCAGTCTCATTCATGTAGCAATGCTCATGCTTCATCAACATTTCAAGATCAAGGATCTGGGGAGATGAGGTACTTCCTTGGTCTTGAAATTGCAAGGAGTACAAATGGAATACTAGTATGTTAAAGAAATTTTGCACTAGATCTTATTACAGACTTAGGATTGGCTAGTTCTAAGCCTGCTGGCACACCCATGGAGGTCAATCAAAGGTTTACCAGTGCAAAATTTTATCACAGTTATAAGGCTAAGGACAATGCTAATGAGTTGTTGTTTGATCCCACTTGCTATCAGAAATTGGTAGGGAAGCTACTCCACCTAACAATGACTCTGCCAGATATAAGCTACACAATACAGAACCTGAGTAAATTTATGTATAGACCAAAGAGATCACACATGGAAGGTGCTCGAAGGGTGGTGAAGTACTTGAAAGATGCACCTGGTTTGGGCATCTTGTTATCTTCTAAGCCTTCCTCACAGCTCACGGTTTATTGTGATGCAGATTGGGCCACTTGTCCCATGACAAAAAGGCCAGTTTGTGGATTTATAGTAAAGCTGGGAGATTCCTTAAGCTCTTGAAAATCAGAGAAGCAAAATACAGTGTCAAGAAGTTCAACAGAGGCAAAGTACAGAATTATGGCCAATACAATTGCTGAAATAGTTTGGCTCATTGGACTGTGTAAGGAATTGAAGGTGAAGTTGGAGTTGCCTGTTAAACTGTATTTTAATATCAAGGCAGCACTACAAATTACTGCTAATCCTATCTATCATGAACAAATGAAGCACATAGAAATCGATTGTCACTTCATTAGGGAGAAGATACAAGAAGGGCTTATACAAACAGAACATGTGCCCACAAATTTGCAATTGACATATATTTTAACTAAAGGTTTAGAAAAGGCGCAACATGAATTCTTATTATCCAAGCTGTTAATGTTCAATCCATTCACATTACACAGCTTGAGGGGGAGTGTTAAAGGTGTCACATGAATGTAGAAGCCAGTTGTCACTTAGCTGGCAAGTAGTCTGTTAGGTTAGTTGTTAGTTATGTAATTAGAAGTTAGTTAGAGTTAGTTAGACTTCACTGTATATGTATGTGTAGAGATAGTTAATCAATGCAACCGTGAAAAAACACTTTCATCTTCTCTATTCTTCTCTCTAAGCTCCGATCTCTCTTAGCTCAATCTAGAAGAATCCATGGTAGATGTTTGACATCACGTCATTACCTTATTTTTTTCACTCATTGTACCCTTCTTTATTATTAAATAATTACTATATATTATCATCTACTCTACCTTTTTATTTAATAATTCTATCTCTTACCCTATTTTTCTTTATAATATTGCAAGTTTATTCTTTATATTATTGATGCATGAGATCATGAAATGATCATTCATCAAAATAATACAACAAAATATAATATAGTACAATATGTTCATTATGATAGGATATTAGCGTGTGATGACCCGACCAGTCGTCTCATGGGTTACCACTTCGTTTCCCCCATTTCTACTTCTTATTGCTTTGTATATCGGTTCTATATGTGATCGAGTTGGTTGGTTCGGGTTCGGTAAAAATTTGGTAAGGTTTGAGACACTTAGTCTCTTTTGAGAAAACTTAAGTTGGAAATGATGTTGACTTATATGTTAGAGGGTTTGGATGTGAATTCCGATGGTTCGGATAGCTTCGGAAGATGATTTAGGACTTAGGAGTATGATCGGAGCGTGTTTTGGAGGTCCGGAGTAGATTTAGGCTTGAATTGGTGAAATTGGATTTTTGGCGTTTTCCGGTTGATAGGTGAGATTTTGATTTTGGGGTCGGAATGGAATTCCGAGAGTTATAGTAGTCTGTTGTGTCATTTAGGATGTGTGTGCAAAATTTCAGGTCATTCGGATGTGGTTTTGTTGGGTTTTTGATCAAAAGCAGAATTTAGAAGTTTTTAAAATTCTTAGGCTTGAATCCGGTGTAATTTTTGTGTTTTGATGTTGTTTTGGGCGTTCCGAAGGTATGAAAAAGTTTGAATGAGGTTATGGGATATGCTGGCATGTTTGGTCGGGGTCCCTAAGACCTCGGGTGAGTTTTTGAACAAACCATTTTAAGTTAAAGAAAAGTTGCAAATTTTGGTTTCACTTGTTGCAGGCATTTTATTCTGCGCGTTCGCGAAGGATCAGGAAGGGAGGCATCAGATTTGGCCTTCGCGTTCACAAGGGTCCCCCGCGTTAACGAAGGGTCAGAATGGGAAGAATCGCGTTCGCAAGATGCGTGACCGCGTTCGCGATGGTTGGTGAGGCTGAGGCATCGCATTCGCGATGATGCGGTCGCATTCGCATAGGAGAATTTTGGTCAATGGAATTTTTATGCTTCACAAACGCGAGGCTTTGACCGCGTTCGCGAAGTAGGACTTCTGATCGCTGGGCAGAATGTTTAAAAGGCCATTTTCGCAAGTTTTGGCCTAAGTTCACCATTTTTTACTGTGTTTTGAAGCTTTTTGAGAGAGATTGAAGAGGGAATCAAGGAGAACTTATTGGAGGTAAGAATTTTGGACTTAATACTTGATCCTATTACGATTTCTACCTAATTAAATATGAAATTTGGGGAATTTGAAGCCTAAATCGGGGAGTTAGGTCTTGGAAACTTGAGACTTTAATCTAGGGATTTGAGGGGCCATTTGTGGTCAGATTTTGGTGTTCTTGGTATGTATGAACTCGTGGGAGGATAAAGATTCCATTGACGTGATTTTTATCGAGTTTCGAGACATGGGCCTGGGAGTCGGGTTTGGCCAATTTTGGGATTTTTGGTATAATTTAATTATTTTCGATTGGGCTTCGATCCTTTAGAGTATTCTAATGTTATGATTTTGATTTTGGGTAGATTCAACGCGAGTTGAGACCGCGGCAAGAGGCAAAGGCGTCGCGGAGTAGTATTTTCATCTGGTTTGCGGTAAGTAACCATTGTAAATCTGGAACTGAGGGTACAAACCCCGGTATTTCGAATTGTTTTGATAAATGAGGAGACACACATGCTAGGTGATGAGCGTGTGGGTGTGTACTTGTAGGGATTTTTACTGTTTTTCCTCAATCTATTTGTTTGAAAGCATATCCTCAGTCATGTTTTACCTTTTTATTGTTTAAAACTAGTTTTATCATTGTACTTCTTAAAATGTGAGAAATGTTTGGACTGAGTTCCCTAATTTCTACTATTATGCCCGAGTGGTTGTGTGGTTGACTAAGAAAGGTTGAGGACCTAATGGTGAGGATATATATATTATGGATCGGGTTGTACGCCACATCGATACTTATATGGATCCGGCTGCACGTCGCAGCGATATATATATCGGATCGGGCTGCGCATCACATCGATATGATATTTAGGATGTAGGAGCCCCTCCGGAGTCTGTACACCCCATTGAGCATAGTCGACTATAAATTATGGATCGGGCTGCACGCCGCAGCGGTTACTATGATTATTACTGTTATGAGATATTGTTAAGCCTGAGTGCTGAGAGTGAGTACTGAGTGATGAGAGCTGAGTCACGAGTGACTGAGAGGCTGTTCGAGAGGCCATATTCTGAGTGTTACCTTGCCTGAGGGGCCCATATACGATATTTTCACTGATTTCACTGTTCTTTTAAAATAAAGCCTCTGTTGAAAAATTGCTAAGTAAATGATTTCTAGTATTCCAATTGAAACTGAAGATTTTATGACGAGACTGGTTTTTAAACTGTGGAGTTTGATCTGTTATTCTGTTGTTTACTCCTTTATATGAATTTAATTGCTCGTCACTGCTTTCAGACCTTATTTACTTTAGTTATTTACTGAGTTGGCATAGTCACGTTACTCCCTGCACCTTATGTGCAGATCCAGGTGCCCGAGTGGCAGAGTGAGGGTCCTCAGCATTATCAGAGTTTCTCAGAGACTGCAAGGTAGCTGCATGGCGTCCGCAACCCTGCTTTCCTCCTCCCTATCTTGTTCTTTTCTTCATTTTAGACTTATGATGTATTAGACAGTGAGTTGTATATTTAGAAGCTCTAGACTCGTGACACTAGATGTTTGGGTTGTGTTGGTTTACTATTTTATTGATATACGCACATTTATAGTTGTTTTATACATTTCCTATGTAAAATTGAGATTTAACCTGTGTTACAAAATGGTTTTATAAAAGAAAAAGGGTTGTGATTAATGTTGGGTCGACTTGCCTAGTAATGTGATAAGCGCCATCACGACAGGGTATTTTGGGGTCGTGACAAGTTGGTATCAGATCCTAGGTTACATAGGTCTCGCGAGTCATGAGCCGGTTTAGTAGAGTCTCGGGTATAGGTACGGAAACATTTGTACTTATCCTCGGGAGGCTGTAGAACCTTTAGGAAAAACTTCATATTCTTGAAATTCTTGTCGTGCGAATCTGTTGATCCTAGTACTAAACTTCTGTTATCTCATTCTCTCACAGATGGTGAGGACACGTACTACCGGGCAGGATGGACGACCACCAGTACCACCAGTTGGGGCCACTAGAGGCCGAGGATGCGGTCAGGGCCGTTGTGGCAGCACCTGGTAGGATGGACGACCACTAGTACTACCAGCTGGGGCTACTAGAAGCCGAAGACGCGGTCGAGGCCATTGTGGCAGCTAGGGCAGCACCTGCAGATCCACTAGCTACCCCAGTTCAGGATCAGGTCCTAGTTATAGACGCTCCACCAGCACCAGCTCAGGCACCAGCTATGCCTATTATGATTTCAGACCTTCAGGAGGCTTTAGCTCAGATTCTATCAGTGTGTACCGGTTTGGCTCAAACAGTCTCAGTTACTATGGCCGCAACTATTTCTCAAGCCGGGAGAGGCACCCACACTCCCGTTGCTCGCACACCTGAGCAGGTTGTGTAGGGACTTCAGACACCGGGGGCACCTCCAGCCCAGTCGGTTAGACCAGCTCAGGAGTATGTGGTACCAGTTATGCCGGATGACGAGCAACATCGACTAGACAGGTTTGGTAGACTCCAGCCTTCGACTTTCAGTGGTGTAGAGGGCGAGGATGCCCAAGGTTTCTTAGTTAAGTGCCAGAGGATACTTCGTACAACGGGTATTCTAGAGACAAGTGGTGCAACATTTACTACCTTTCAGTTTTCTGAGACTGCCTTTACTTGGTGGGAGGCTTATGAGAGGCATAGGCCTGTTGGTGCAGCGCCCCTTACCTGGCAACAGTTCTCTGTTCTCTTTTTAGAGAAGTATATGCCACAGTCTCACCGAGAGGAGCTGCGCAGACAGTTCGAGTAGTTGCTTCAAGGAGAGATGACTGTGACACAACATGAGATGCGGTTCTCTAAGTTAGCTCGTCATGCGGTTTGGTTGGTTCCCATAGATCGAGAGAGGATCAGGAGGTTCATTGATGGCCTCACATATCAGCTTCAGATTCTCATGACTAGGGAGCAGGTGTCAGGTGCTACTTTCAAGGAGGTTGTTGACATCGCCTTTGAGATTGAGTTGGTTCGTCACCAGAAGCTAGGGGAGAGGGAGGCCAAGAGACTTCGAGGATATGTTAGCTTTGGTAGTGCTCCTTCGAGGGTTCAGTTTCAGCACGATAGAG